TATCTTCAAGTCGCACAGAAAAATTGCGTCACTTGATTTACTTTGCTTGAACACTTTTGATCGAACTGAATGTTATAATGGATTTGGAATCCAAATAGCGCTTAGCAAAAACACCAGCATTGAAAGTAAACGAAAATCTGCGCAAGTTAAAGATGAAACTCTTGGAAAATTGAAATTGACTGTTATTGAAGTTCATTAGGAAGACCTAACTCGCTTCAGTCATTTTTTGTAAGTTCATGTGAACCTGATATTAGTCATTCCGTTGGCGTGTGAACGAAATTTTAGATGTGATATAGTCCGCAGTTGTTTGAGTGTTGAATGGCATCTATAGTAAGCCTATGCGATGAATACTTTTCAACAGCATAAAATGAGGCACAGACATTGTGATCAATTAATCTGATGATGACTGATCCAACTTTTCGTCTGTTATCACTCGACATTAATGAGATTATTTTTCCCGAAATTATTTTTCCCGAAAAAAATTCTTTCCACTAACAGCGATTCATTTGAAGAGTGTTTTAATTTCATTTGAAGGACTCACTCTGCCTTAGATGGGTGTTTCAGTTGCACGTCTACGCAATTGTTAGTGTATGAATGTCTGCGTTGTACGTACGTTATGTATGTATGTTATCACTGCACAGCAAAACGTTAGCGAAACAGCAAATAAAGAACACGATCAGAGCGATATGGCACATAAGAGAGCTGGATGCTGATTGGCCGTTGCTTACGGTAGTGATGCGTTGAATCCAACCCACTTATAGACGCGTTTCTATATGATCACAATTTTAGTGCGTTGCGTATACTGAACGCAGTTTTACGATTCGTGAACGTTTTATACTATCTCATAAGCTGTGTTTGATATAAAAGATGAATATAATAAAGCTTTGAAATGGTTATGATACTCGAATAATACCATTTTTATTCATCAATTGCTGTATTGATCATCTAAATTAGTTTTATATTACTGTTTGCGGTATTCTCTCTTAACTCCTATTTATCAACGTTATTTATTGATGTGGTCCTGCCTGTTTGCCGTTATATTGGTTTGTCATCTTTATGCACACAAAAATAAATAATTGAATACTTATTATCAAATGGCTCATTTATGTGTGTGCTTAACACATACATAAATTCTCTCCTACATACTTGACTGTTGTATATTTATGAATCAATCAATTTGTGATTTTGTTTTCACAGGAAACATTTTAATGTGATCATTAAAAACACCTATAATTGTCTCCCGATTGTCTCGACCTAATAATGCCCTTAATTTGTACCGATCATTTCACTGTGTTCATAATTCATGTCCGAAGCATGTGCATCCATCAACGTTGCGCACTACCGTTCGACACTGAATTTTTGCCATAAATTTAAATTTCAAATGATACCAAAGCGATGTATCGTTGAGCACTTTGAATGACCACTTGCTATATGATAGGCAATTTAACTACTTCCCGAAATGTTGAAATTCAGTTTATGAAGAAATGTCGGCGAATTGAAGCATCAAAAAAGTGTCGCTCTAACTCTTATAAAAGAGAACGCTGCGATGCACGTTCCTTAAGGTCTTTGGAATATATAACACCTGAACATCGTCAGTATAACTGTTGAATTCAAAAGCGCAATTGATGATCGCTGAATAGAAATAACAAATTGATATTATTATTATTATGATAGCCCAAATATTAAATTATCATATATTCCGTGTTTTCAATTCATATATTCATAATATTTGAAGAACGTTCAATCTCCAAAAGCGCTTTGAAGTGAACGGCAAACGAAAGCATTTATGATTTAGTATCATTTTGTTAGTCATAAATTCGAATGTGTGAGACGAAATAGTTTTTTGATAGTGTCCAACACAAAAGATATTTATTTGTAGGCGAAGAAGAAAATCTTGTTGAGTATAAACTGCATAAGAAAACAGATCTTTTTTTTTGGACAGTCCGGAACTTACACCTCGCCCATCGGGCTGTTAGCGTACGATTTTGCACTGCTGATGAAGCTGAGCACTTTGATCAAGTCGAGGTTCAATTTATCACTCATTAACACTACGGAATATTTTGTTCTGTACAAGTGACTACGCAATCTGCAGGTGATCTGATATCGTATTTCGATGAATGACTGCCGTTATCAGTTCTTCAGCACAGCAGAAAATCATCACGTATCTCAACTAATTTCTCACATCGTAACATGTTCTCAAAAGACGATTAATTATCTCACTGAAAGTGACTGAAATTAGAGCTAGAAATTGATCGAGATGTGCATTTTCAACGTATACGTCCATTGAGGTCACAGTCTTATTTATTCTCAGCAAACATTCGAATTGTTCAGAGGACAAACTCAAGCAGGTCTTACGCTCTATCAGAGTCCCCAATCTAGGATAATTTTTTCTTGCTGCATCGACAAAAAAAATTATCATTAAATTTTCTTGGCTGGAAATGAATAAATAATTTTGAAATTCGTCATATTTGATTTCGTTCTGAATTAATTTCCATCGCCATTTATACATCAGCTCTTAGCGATGAACATTAGCCGCACTGTTTTCTTATTGGTCGCATCCTTTTTCACTGAATGAATTACAGTGTATAAATTCACTTATTCAATTCACTGTTGTGCTGATGATTTCGTTGTCATTTTAGATTGATGAACAACATCACGGATTCACTCTTGTGGACTGTGAACAACTGCTTTTTTGTGTGATTAATTTTCGAAAAAATTTATATTCTGAAATCCTGCTTGCCACTTTTTTGCCCGATAATTCTTCAGTTTAGTGATGGAGAATTCGCCAGTTTACCGTAAGAAATACCGTATTACGGTAGAATTGTTAACGGACTGTAACCAGTTTTGAGGCGGGTTACAGTCTACTTCTAACGATTGTTTTGGTGTGCAATGCAGACGCTTTTGGAGGGCAAAAACTGTCTCTGCTGGTTAAGTTACAAAAGTAACAAAACAAATGGCATAAACTCTTGAGCATTCCCAGAAAATTGCAGCAAATGAATACCGTGGAAAACACGTCGTTAGCATACGTGTTAAGATNTGAACCCAGCCGTTATAGAGTGGTGCAGAGAAGTGATATTGTAGTTGATTAGTTGACGCACACTCTGCAGTGTCGATCAAATGACAGCCGTTTGGCATCAGTCCTCCTCTTCTCTGTCCTCTCCACTCCTTCAACAAACCCACTCATTCTCAGAATCTTCATATCGCATCATGAAATCGTCCTTTCAAGCTCTGTTCGGCTCCTTGTCTCGATTTTGTTGCAACTAAAAGCAGACGGTAAAGTTGAATGAAAGAACTGCACTACTGAAAGTAAAGTTGTATAGACACCACCATCGAAATTCTCTGAAATCGTTCATCAAAAAAAACTAGAAATAATTTTTTTGTGGAGCCATATAAAAATCCTCAAAGGTCGTGAATGATTGCATCAAAAATTACCACCAGAAACATCTCAAATCTGCAATTTCATACATCTCCAGTGGTATGGAATGTGTTATGCAGAAGAAGCTTGCCCAATGTATGACAATATGATCTGCTAGACAGCTGTAGCACAAAAGACCTTTTGCTAATCAACATGAAATTGATNACCTCAACTTCGTGACTATACGCACGTTCATTCGCTCTGCATGCGAAAACAATTTCTGTCAGATGGAATGTTCAGTTATCAATTGATAATTTATGCTAATTGCTTACATCAAACGCACTCGATGTGCTATCTATCGTGTTTGTTGATTAGTTCTGGTGAAACAAGCGTTCGTTACAGCATTGGCTTATCTTGTCAAATAATAAAAATGAGCGAGAGGTGTCTTTTACGACTTTATCGTCTGTGATTGTTGATGAAGTATACAGTTCGTCTTTCTAAACGCCTTTCATTCTTCGGTAAATTTTTATTTTCACAATTGCACTTCTACAATATTTCAGCAATTCAACTTAAAAAACACCTCATTTCCATCTGCAAATATCTCATTACGAACTGAAGCATCCCTTTATGAATTCCCGGCAGTGTTCACTGTTATACAATCGATGAAATTTCGATTCATAAAGTTATGGCCGAAGAACTTCAAGTGAAATGTCTATTATTTTCAGTGATTTTCAATCGCAATTTCTCTCTAAATCGTCGATAGGTTGCATAAATTCGAACGGTTCTTTGCTCAGCAATCTTTGTGAATCGTTTCGCAACTGATTAAGAGTAAACGTCCTGCATAAGAAAGGTTTCGTACGATGTGTGTTTGCAAATGAACGATAGCGGATTTGACAACAAAAATTACTGCAGAGGACGGATCTTATTGATGTCTTTGATTTTTGATACCTCAAAGAAACATTAATACTGAGGAAGTGCTAAATTATTTCTCGATAATAGTGCATATGAATGGGCCGAAGAAAATTCTGGCAACTCAATATATTTCATAAAAATGTATTTGTGAATATTCTCGAGTCTTCTGAATCTCGATGATATGACATTGAATTTAGATGTTCGTCAATACACATTATCGATAAATAATGAATGCAACACGTCGCATATTCCTATTGTGATCAGTTTTTATGCGAATCGAATTCGAAGCGATAAAAAATTTATCGCTTTTAATGGATATTCAATAATACATCAAAAAAATTTTCAAACGAATCAATCAAATTTATATTCATAAAACCAATAATTGTGCACATATCATTGGCATTTATTTAGTATTCATTACTATATTTCATACAAAAATTATTCATCATTACATATCTTGAAGCTGTTAGAAGGAATTCTCCAAAATTATATATCAAAAAGCTTTTCGCAAACGGAAATGATCATATCACAATACTGGTTAATCTTAATGGACGCGCTATCACCAAACTGAATTTGTTATGTTGTGTTCTTAGCGGATTGTGTTTGTTGTTTTGTGCTGAATTACTGTTCAAAGTTCTCGATGAAATAATCAATTATATGTGCTGTGGACAATAACGACCATAATAATGATAATACTTTGAAGAATCTAAAAACGTTTCAATCGTCCAATGATATGATTTCGGTGATGAACGGTATCAATAATCCAGCGACATTCGGCTTTACTGGTGGTTTAATGGATGCAAAGCCATTCTATCATAAATTCACCAATGCTGCCAGCGCCACACAAATGGGTAGCGTCTCAGCTGCACAACAAACCACCGAAATAGATCGTAATACCCCTCCAGCACTTGCAACGAGGTGAATGCGAAGAGAATTTTTTTAACTCAAATTAGATTTTCTTCAAAAAACTGATCTCATGTTAGCATCGAATCTCAACGAGACCATAAAATGTTTCAGTTCTTCCTCACAAATGATGAATGTAAGCAGTGCGACAATGCCCATCACGGCACACACTCACCACGCATCCACACACAACACCACAAATCCCACCGTACAACAATATCCACATCACCACCATCCGTCCTATCCGTACGACTGGACATCACATCAGCAGGTTGCTGCTCAGCTATCGGCACATCAAGCTGTTGCGGCGCAACAAGCTGCTGCCGTTCAGCATGTTGCCGCAGCAGCTGTCGCTAACGTTGCTTCTGTTTCTTCGACCGCATCAGGTATCGTCATTTATGCATTAAATTGCACTCAATCAACAATTCATCTTCAATTTATATTTCATCAGTTTACTGCCCAGTAGAAACCATTCTATCTATCAAACCGATCATATTTTGCGGATCACTTAGTTAGAATTTTATCACTTGATATGTCGCACAAAGCCGATTGAATCTTCTAAATGATATCCACCAATAAGGCAAGAATGTTTTATGAGACAAGTGAACGATTGCGTTGAGGCACTGAAAATTTTATTCTATGCTCAAATTTGCTGAAACTTTTCCCATTATTTCATTATTAGTGCTTCAAATTCGGAACGTTCGATTGATTTTCTGATTTTTCTAGGATCTTCGAATGGAAACTCACCGAACGTAACCACAAAAACTGCATTCTTGTCTCCTCCTTCAGCAGCTGGTAAAGTCTATTCTAATGAATATTTTATTTTCTGATAAATACACTGTTTTCTGATTAATAGTTTGATTTAATTATTCAATTATTTGTTTTAATTCTGAATTAAAATACTGCCTCTTCAACTCTTCACATGTCATCGTATTCAAAAAACACAAAATTCTGTGCTTGTAAAAAGGCAAAAGTTGGGGTGATCCGAGCCAATTTCCTGGAAAATAAGTCATATTTCAGTAGAATAGTAAATTGTCCACAGGCAAATAAGATCAATGACTGGATTATATAATTGAAAGGATACTATTTTATGGATGAATTAATTAATCGGAACTGAATTAATCAGGTTTTGATATGATGAATCCAATGTGCCAAGCGGAACTATACGGGTCTAATTTTCACGCAGCACATGCGGCAGCTGCAGTGGCCTCGGGACATTCATGGCCATATGCATATCCACAGCAATACGCTTTCGGCACTCATCCTTATCCAGGCGCCATGGTAGCTGATATGACTGCCTTAACAGGTCGGTTCACCTTAACAGGTCAATTCACTTATGCACATTAATTATCTTATGCGTACAGTTTGAAGCGATTTCTCAGAACCGTTTGGGTGAAAGCATCACAACGCCCTCAACTTTACCAATCATATTAACGAAAACAATTCAAACAGAAATTAATCTTCATCATAGTCTTCTGCATTTTCATTCCTTTTATAAATTCAATGTCCCAGCAAATCAAGTATTTGCCATTTGAATCCTTTCATAACTGAAGTCTCAATTCTATATATACTTACACGAATGCATAACACGACTGCCTTTGCTATTAGTATTTTTGTCATCACAATCTTCTTTTTTCTTCAACATCCTATTAGTATCAATCTGCAAATAATTGATTATTATTGCTTCATGCTATTTCTATCCATGATCAGTGGAATTCAAGCTTTTCAATTAATTCCTTGAAGGTTCTCTTCTTGCTTGTCCATCAGCACTATACTTGCATAGATCTTTGAACAAAAGGAGAGGATATATTGCATATTAGTTGCTGAAGAATTACAAACCTCTGAGTAATTTTTAGCGCATCTTTATGGTATATTTAATCAAATTTATTATCAAGAGATGGATGTGTAGAATGCAAATTCACGATACTGAACTCGTAACGAACAGGGCATTTGACATTAAATGGTTATCGATTGTGATTGGCTGTAAGTGATGATGCTTTAAAATTCTGCGTTAGTGAGGAGATTAAAGCGAATATCGTGTGTGGGATTGTGAATAGCAAAGCTGCATTTAATAATCACTGAAAATCATCACCACAATAGTTTTCACTGAAACGTCGCTTTTTGAACTTTAGAATTAACTTCCGATAATGATCAATAAACGTTAACGTTTCAAGCGAAACAACAATAGATTCGTCTTTAATCTGCTTTTCATCATTATCATAGTTCTGCGAGATACGAATTCTTGTTATGCAAACGCTGACAAATTGGGTGGATTCTCGCGACGATCTCTTCTCAAGTACAGTACTTTCGTTTTTTTTTTGAAATCAATTCGTTCAGATAACGCAAACAGTTGAATCATTACTCATCATCGTGCGTCACACTGACTCTTCGATCAACTCTTCAAACTGAAAAGTTCTCTTGATAAGACTGCGTGATGCTCTCGATCTAAAAACAGCTGCAATTCAATCTTAATTTGCGTTATGCGGCCTGAAACAATGAAACGCCGAATGATAAAATTGACGAATAATGATTATCGTATATCTATCTGTCTGTCTATGTCGTTGATGTGAACTAACAGAAGAAATAGTGTGCGCTGTGTTGTACGTCGTCGATATGTAACGGAGCATATCAACTTTTCGCAGTGATTTATTGAGGTGATCATTATACGCGAATAACGTTAATTCAAGATCTCAAGATGATGTATATACTCATCTTGAGATTTCATTCTATTCAAAATAATTCATTCGATTTGTACAACACTTCACCGATACAGACTCAGTACAAACACAACACGATCGGCAGAATATTTTCAAATATCGCTTTCGAAAATGATCAATTTCAACACACTGCCACTCACTCGTTCGTTCGATTGGCATGCTTTTTGTGCGTCAAAAAAGAAAGAACGAGCGGTGAGATGAAAGGGTTCACGTTATCAGTGATTAGGGTTAGTCGGCATAGTGGCAACCGGCTGCTGAGTTGATTCTACGCAAACATCCCGCTATATTTGGGGGACGTCACAGATTTATCTATAGTGTTTTAATTGCGTATAAATATACACGTCTGCGTTTACATGTGTATCCAGCATTTATGTATATATATATACATATATATACATATATAT